GTTAATGAGCTACTCGCTAGCAAGACGCAACACCGGCTTACGGAATTCTTTGTACAATTCGCACCACACGCCGATCTGTTAAGTCAGGACTGTAATACGGTGGGTAAGGTCACTGGTATTGTCGATTCGGTAAAAGTTAAACGGCATAAAATACCAAAAAGTGTCTTCGTTGATGAAACTGTCAATGTCACAATGACGACAGTTGGAAGCGAAAATAGAATCATTCAATTACCTTCGAATATCTCTATATCTGCTGTATTGGAGACATCTAACGGGACGTCATCGTACCAACTGCCAATCACTGATCACCTTGATGGGAATTACACAGTTAAGTTGAAAGTTCAAGAAAAAGGCATTAACAGATTAACTATGACCGTTGGAGATAACCAGATACCAGGATCACCCTTCAACATTAAAGCGTTATCAAGTATGTACATTTATTTGTCTGTCTGTCTGTCTGTCTGTCTGTCTGTCTGTCTGTAGTTTATAGGATTAAGTAATCACGTGACATAGAAGTAGTTGTGCTTTATTAATCACGCCATATAGTTCATTGTTACATAACGTGATTGCTGTATTTAAATAATAGTTAGTTGCATTCACAATGTTACGATATTTATAATTCATGATTTTGTTCTAATTTCCGTAACCAATTTATTGCTGACATAATTAAATATTACGATATTGTAAACTTGATCAATTTCCTTGTATATCGCTGTGAATCATGTACGTAGTATAGTTATTGGTGATATAGCGTTTATTAAAGCGAGAGGGGTCGTCACCTGCGCACGCGTGGGAATTGAGTCCCAAGCGATGATTTATAACAACACACGCTAAAAACGCAAAGGCTCATGGGTAGACATTTGTTTGTAAACAATGACACGCTATGGCCATCTGACGCATGCGCATGTGACGACTCCCCCGCTCTAATATGCATAAATAATAGTTGCAATAACTAGTACTGGTACTAGTGATAGGTCCACAATTTAAATATTAAGCTCACATGGTTCCAACACAGCACAAACTGTCAGCCTGTGAGGCTTTCATAGACTCTTGTGTTCAGGTGAATATATAACATCCAACAACTGTTTTTATTTAATTCATATGTTATCAATTATTTATGTTTTTCAGTACAGGATATGGTTATGCAGGTTCGGAAAAATACAAAGGTTAGGAGAGGAAGAGATTGGAAATGGGGAAACCAGGTATGTATGCAGTATGCTTGACATTAATTTTGGGGACACCTAGTATAATTATTTATACAGTATATTTATATTGATTTGGGGATACCAGGTATACATATATACAGTAAATTTAACATTGGTTACCTGTCAACTTAACCAGCTTACTACTCAGTTGTCACGTGACGTCTGATATGAATTCCCGTTAAATTTATTTTTTGTTTTTCACGGAATTCGAACGCCCTCTGTGCGACTGAAGTCAATATTTGATAAACAAATATCCTAATTAACCATTGTCAAGGGGAGTGTCTCCATTTCAAAGCACAGGTGAAACCAATATGCAAATGAAGGATAAGTGCTTGGACTGTATATACTTTATAGTATACGAGTTAAAATGTTCCTTACACGATACACTGACAGGGACAATGTATTAATTTGAATATCACACAATGCATTGTTAAATATTCATATCATGGCACGCTGGGTGTACATAATATCATCCCACTTCAGTGTTCGGTGTGTTGTGTTCTATTTTTCACTTTCAGTTTGTCGTTTTGATTAATATTGTCGTTAATTACAGGACGGTGATCCACCTGGTGTTGGTACAGTGAAACGTGTAATCGGTGGTAGTGTGTATGTAACGTGGGATCATGGAAAGACTGATGATCTTGGATTGGGAAATGTACAAAGTATACAAATACCTCTGGGGTGTAAGCGTTTTGACAGTCAATTTTGTTTTCATTATCGCATGAATGCTCATGGGGCCTGTGACTTGCAACCAGCACAGTTCTACTAGTCCTAGTTTGGATCCTTCGATAGTGTCTGTATGTTTGACTGGTGTTAACTGAAAACAATCACAATTGTTCTCACTTGCATATGTTATCGTACGTATTATACTTATTTTAATAAAATATCAGACAGATGAGAGCTTTACTAACAGTTAGTTTTTGAGGGCATGTGGGTCTATATTTCATATGGTGTCAGTAGTACTGTACATGCGAAACATGGGCACGTCTGTCTAAATAAAATTCTTGTCATCGTACATAATATTATCACTATGCCTTCCTTTGTCAACGTGTCTGATTCGTGGTATCATAATTTAATGTAAGGAGTTAGACT